TGGATTAAACAACAAACACAGAGCAGACAAAGCCAAAATATAGCAGACACAGAACAAGGAGTAAATACAAAGACATTAATTAAGACACAGAGCCAAGGTACGAGACAGAACAGGTACTACGTAAGCTAAACTGAACGTGCAAATGAACAATGAAAATAACAAGGCTAAACAGAGGAAACACAAGACAAGGAACATAACCCAAAAACAAAAAAACATGGACTGAGCTAATAACACAGAGTGGAGAAAGTAGACAAGATAACAGAACAACACAAATAGACTCCCCAACAAGACACAACAGACAGGATCAGACCAACAAGCAAAAACATACGGAGTAAACTGAACACAAGACAACAGACAGGACTGAAACCCAAAACACACAGTAAATAACAGATGCCAAACTGACCAATGAACAAAACTCATAGAGACCCAAACAAATCAGACAGGCAGTGTGACAGATAAGTAGGGCTAAGGCAGGGACAGATATATAAATTAGAAGAAGTACAGATTCGGTATTTAACTCGGAGGCGGAGCAGTTGCTCAAGGGTTGGGGTGCTCCCAAGATATAATAAAGGCACATGAGAGGGGCATAGTCTAGAAATGTTCTTCAGGTAAAAGACGGCAGTCTTGGAAATGTTTTTGATGTGTCTGTGTCAAAACAAAGGGTAGAGTCTAAAGTTACACCAAAATTTTTGACCTCAGAGGATGAAATAAAACCAGGGACACTCAATTTTAGATGAGACTTTTGGTGGAGAGTGTGGTTGGAGAGGTAATGGGGAAAGCCTTAGATTTATCCTGATTAAGTTCAACGTAATTGCAGGTCATCCAAGCATTAATATCCTTTAAGCACTCTGTCAGGTTGGATGGTGGTGGAGTGTTCGAGGCTTGGTGTGTATCTAGAGTTGTGTGTCATCTGCATAGCAGTGAAAATTGAGGCCATGTCAACAGATCATATGTGCAAGAGGGAGACTGTAAGAACAGTAATGGTCCAATAACTGAGCCCTGGAGGACACCATTGGGGAAGAGGGGATGTGAGAGACCTAAAGCTGCTAATGTAAACAAACTGTTGTGTAGCTGTGAGGAAGGACTTGAGTAGGTGGAGCACCAGTGACAATCAAGTATTGATTCTACCCAGTTCAGCAGAATATTAGATCCGAGCTATCAAAGAAAGCAGTGAGATTTACAAGGAAAAGTATGTTGGGGTAAGCAGAATCAGCAGTTATCTGGGGCATCATTCTAGGTTAAAATCCCTTGTACATATTATCTGATTACATAATAACACACAGGATATCAATAATACATTACCTAAAAATGACCTTCTTCCTTCTCTTTCATCATTTTTCTTTTTTCAGTCTTATGTAAAAATAGTTTGTTCTTCCATAGTTGGGTGTGGGGGAAGGCGACTGAGAACTTGCAGCTGTTTGGGTGTTTACAAAATTATAGATGCTGGGAGGAATGTATTTGCTGCAATTATCATTTGTTCTCTTGCAAGCGATGAAAGAGGCATAATATTTTTCACAGTTAGCTGTGTGTCAGAGTTATTAGGTTTACTTGAGGATGCAGAGCATTTAGGGCATATTGTTGGAGACTGCAACACTTGCAGGAAATGGATTTTCTAGCAGTAATATTCTCCAGCCTGCACACACAGAGCTAAGCTGCCCGTCTTTTGGTTCATGGTCAGTCACGGTCCCATCTTCTTTGGGAAATTAAGTGGTTTGCAGAGAGACTATGTCAATGGCACTGTTGTGATGTGACAGATGCAAAGAGTCAAACAGAGAAAAACAGCCATGCACAGTTTATCCTACATTATGCAGCTTAAAGAGGCTGTGTGCTTTTCTAATTGAATATATAATTTATTCAGTGAGATCTGTAAGTAGTAGGAAGGTGACACATTATTTGCTGTGCTAGCTCTGTATTCATTACTATGGATCTGAAAGGAAACAATGGCTTTAAGCTTAAAGTGCTGACTCTCAGCTCTATTTAGAGAGTGTTTACATCTACACTAGATGAACTGTGTAGAAGCTGTGGCCATTTTTATACATAGTCCCCTCCCCTTGGTGCTTTAATCTCCAAGTCACTGTTCATTCCACATTCAATGTGTAAAAGAACCAAGGGTCACTGTCATTATACTAAAGGAATGTCCTTTGTATCAGATGTTACAGTGGAAACACTAAATCTGCAACAAAAAAAGGAAGAAGAAGCATTTAATGTGTTTGGTGGTACTCTCTTAATGGGAAAGATAGAGTGGGTTTGCCGCATCGCACCTGTCCTCATCTCACCAGTACCAATTAACCTCATCACCTCAACAATTTATACAACTTTGGTAAACAATTGTACTTCATGTTCATTGGGGCCAGATTTATAAACTATGTGTCTACACAAAGACTGTGCATACGCCGTAGTCGCATTTAATAAACTTAATTTCCTCATTTTTATTTACATTAGAGGAAATATTTCTCATGTTAATAACCTTAATCTTATTTTCTGAGGTCAAGAAATAAATCATTGATCATCTTTCTGATGTTAAATAATAAAGATTGAGATATTGCCGCTGATAAGTTACTGATGAACGCCTTTTAAACAGTCACAGCTGTGTGTAATGACAGCTGCTAGTGCTGTTAGAGAACCTCGCCAGTGCGACACAGTTGGTAAAACTGCACATCTTTGCTGTTGTTCTCATTGACAGGTATAATGAGAGGTTGAGCAGGCGGAAATATTGATATGCAAATGTTTAGGGCGTTACGACATCTATTTATGGCTAACTGTGGGAGTGGAAATGAGCTCATGCCTACTTCCATGATGATTGGGATTGGTATGACAGAAACTTGCGTACACAGGATCTTTATAAAGCTGACAAAAGAACATATGCATATTTCTGTCTTTGTGCTTTTAGACATGAATCTGGCCCCTGGTTGGTCAATTACATTTTCACCACATAGCAACATCAACAGAAGGAAAAAAATCTTCAGAAACAGTTACCAAACAGTCTCACTGAGCACAGGCCGAGCCGGCCACATGCAGCAGGGGCCCTTAAACCACCAGACCTTCTATCACATGTATTAACAACAAAATTAATCTAATTGGAAAACCAAATGGATGACTCAAAAGGAGAGATGTCCAAATATTTTGCTCTGATAACGATAATCCTTATATATAATAATGAGTATGTGTGATCCTATAATAATTTGTCATTATGTATGTGTTTAATTGTTCATAACACAAACAGCCCCACATGAAATACTATACAAACGTTACAGTAACCCTGCAAAAAAATTAGTAAAACAATTTATGTGGGAGGGCCTTTTATACTGTATGTGAGCACTGGATGATCTTTCACATTTGAAAAATTCAGCATCTTAAATAGAATTCACCAATGCTGTTGAAGCAGTTTCCAACTAACACATACTAGTATCTCATTTTCAAGGTAATTGGTTATTTTTGCATGGGATTATTATTCCCCTTATTATCTTGTTTGTACCATAGTTATTGTTTAGTTTGGAGGAATACAGCCTTTAAATAGAGACTTTGAGTCTTTTCCAACCTTGTAATACATTTTACTTTACCACCCCAACAAGCAGGGGAAACCGTAGTCATGTGGTCAAGCAATTATTCTTAGTGGCCATGTTATAACAACAGAAGAACATGTAAAATTACATTTTAAAGACCTTCCTGAAAGGTCATGCAGCACTATATCCATAGCACAACCTAAAATGAAATGTGTTCCCTAAAGCCTTTTAACTTTCACGCAACATTAAAAATGTCTTACGTTTTTATTCTATACGTCAAGTCAAGTCTTATTTATAAAGCACAAGTTGACTCAAGTGCCAAACAAAGTTATACAATAAAAAACAGATAAATAAAAACAGGCCAATCAATTTATGTATATACATACAACAAAAAATAGAAAAACAAGACAGATAAGCAAGATTGTCCCTAAACAGACTCAAACGGCAAAGAAGAAAAATGCATTTTAAGACGAGACTTTAAAGTCTCAGTGGTGGGGACGATTTGATAATCAAATTAACTTAATTTCACAGTCTTGGGGCCACCACTGAAAATGCATGATCACCTTTTGTTTTAATACAAAAGTGTGTAACGGCTTAAAGGGATTGGTTTGATTATCTGAGGGCTTGGAAGAGTGATAAAACATTCAGAAATATAAGATGGAGTATTGTAAGAAAAAATCTACATGTTTCAAAACTTAAAGAAGCTTACAGTGTCCACTTTTGGCAGTGATTTGACTCTATGGCTATTTTTCTGGTGTTCGAACAGTTTTTGCACTGGATTGCAGTCTTATGTGAGGTTTTCTTGTAATTTCCCCTGTCCGCCTCACACTGTATGTACACCTCTATGAAATGCTGAGGCTACACTACACTGCTTTAAAGAAAAACCATGCTTCATCTGTCTTCCTGCCTGTCTCTCTGTCCCTCTCCATGTTTGTAACGGTCTGTCTGTCTGCCTCTGCCTTTTATCTGTCGGTCTATTTTAGTCTGTTTATCTATTTGTCGGTTTCTCTGCCCGCCTCGCTGTCTGTCTGTCTGTTGTCATCTGTCTGTCTGTGATATGAACCCACCGGTATATTATTAATATTATTTGTGACACACACACACACACACACACACACGCACACAGTATCAGTATCTCCGGCTTGCAGACAGCTTGCAGACAGAGCTCAGTAAGTGAATTAAGCTGGTCTGGACTGTACTAAAGCTGACACTGGCTGACTTAGTAAGCTCGCATAAAAACACACACACACACACACACACACACACATACATTGTTATACTTACACACAGAGCAGATAAAGAATTGCGGAATGAACAGACGCACATACATACACAGAAACTAAATGCTGCGTGATCAACTTATTTAGACAAACATAATTTTAATGTTTAACTAACTTCTCAATTCTCCATGTTAAAATAATACCACTACTGCTGCTACTATCATTTCTACTACGACCACTACTAATAATCATGATAATCCATGTGCTCATCCTCCAGCGCCTCAAGGAGCTGAAACAAAGGGAGTTTTACAGAGCGTTGGCCTACAGGAGGCAGAGGAGACGCAGGGAGGAGCAGAGAGAGGAGAGAGCGCTGAGGAGGCTCCACAAGCATGAAGAGAGGAGGACAGGAGAGTGGTGAGTAACATGCACCTCTACACGCTAACTGAAAGGACCAGACGGACTATATTTAAGTGTTGTAACTGTTAAATAAGCTCTGCTGTGTCACTTTCGTAAACGTAATATTACTTTATTGATATTTCATGCAGCTTGACATAAAAATAATTATTTAAAATAATCTACTTTAAGGATAAATTTCAGTACATTTACAAGAGGATTAAATGTTCTTTGCTGGATAATCTTTCACTGTGAATGTCTTGGTTTTTCAGAAAATTTTTCATCAATCAACATTTTTATTTTTAAAAATAGATTAAATGCATAATCTGAAAGTGACACATTACCGCCTGACTCATCTCCCATCAGCTTTGTTTTGGTTTTATGGTCGTTAACTTATATGGTTTATTCTCACCGCTCTCATTAACTCCGTTTCCAGCTGCAGCTGGCAGCTGTTTTCATCAAAAATACCTCTGACAAATCCACTGTTCGCTACCTGCCCTGCCCTGCACCAAACATCAGACAGACACTGTTAAAGAGTAGCTGGTGAAGATATTGGTGCATTTAGCAGTTAAAGAGACAAATATTTCCTTCAGGGGTTGGTGGAGACTTAAAACAGATTTAAATTCATCAGCTGGATTGAAACACAGCTCCAAATTAATTCATGTTGCTCTGTATCTGCTGGATGTGTATGTAGGCACGGACAACTGTTTATTATTATTTAAAAAAATCTATAAGTCTGTGTCATGCACTCTGTTTCTGTGTCAGGGTGTTTGGTTTCTCATTAGAGTCATTCTCACAATAAAGTTGTATTTTTTATACTACAAGTGTTGCTGGAGTTTTGACCTATTTAAGCAATTTCGCTTCCCCAATGCACCTTGGAAGTAGGTGAAGTTGTGCCAGAAATTCCTTTTCCACAGCAGACATTTTAACTTGACTCATAGTAGGATAAGCAGACGTGTAACTAATAGCATTAATGCTGTGTTATTTTACAGCTGTGTGGAAATGCTGCTCTCTGTGTGTTCATGTGCTGGTTGGACGCTCCGGCATCCGGGACTTTCAAGTGGGCTGCCAAACAGTGTTGCGCTCACGTTCTGTTTGTCTTAAAAAAAAAGAGAGAAAAAGAAACCCAGTAAGACAAATGATAAACAAAAACAGAGGTCTAGAAACAGATGATGTGGATTTGGCTGCTTCTTGCTGAAAACAAGTTATGATGAGAGTTCATCTGGCGAGCTACCAAACAGAGAATGTGTTTTCTCAAAATATGTATACGATAGCACATGAATGCAAAATGTTAGTTCAGAGCTGCAAGTCACAACCTGAAGACGCCCACATGAAAAAGAACGTAGGGCTCTGCCAGGAAATAGTCCCTGAAGACACGATCAAACATCCACGACTTTTAAATCCATGCATGAAAGTTAGAATTTTTAATGTAGGTCTATACTTACTGACCGCTGAGCCAAATTTAGGTCTTCATATATTTAAAAACACTTAACACTGACATGTTTGTTTCACAGTATTGTACATGAGTAAAAATAAAACACAGAGGAAAAGAGAGATCAGTAACTAGCTGCCTCGTTACAACAAGCGTTGGCACAGCAACCAATAAAATGCATCTTGCTGTGCTTAATGGGGATAATCATCATGGCTATAAAGTTTTTCTGACCAATAATGTCGTGCCGCTGAACCCACTCGCTATACAGAAAGTAATGTCAGTATCGGCTGTCACTGCCATTTTCAGATTTGCAACAATGCAGTTTGGCTCCTGGCACAAAGGGACGGAGAGGAAAAGCATGGTCAAATTGATTTTCAGCTGGATTTCAGCTCTACTCTGCTCTCTCCCTTCTCACCACTTGTCTCCTTGTTTCCTCTCATTTTCATTTGTTTCCTTTCAACCTTTCCTCTCCTCTTTATTCCTCACATTCTTTTCATCACTTGTCTCCTTGTTTCCTCCTCTCCTGTCACCCTTTTCTTCCTCCTTTCCTTTTAATTTGTTGCCCTTCACTTCTTTCCTTTCATCCTATCCTCACTATCCTTTCATTGATCCTCCTCTCCTCTTTCCCCCTCTCCTCTCCTCAGTGCTCCAGGTTCTGGTCCCATGTTCAGGTCCACCACAGTGGCAGTCGAACCAGCAAACCAGACCAGGCCAGACTTTGTACAGAACTGGGCTGACATCCATACAAGCAGCACCACGCTGGGAACAAGTAAGAACTCTTATCTGCTTATAAAGGCATGTACTCGGCTGCTTAAATACTTAATGAGCACGTGTTTGGTTTTGGTGATGGAGATATCACTCCTGATACTGAGGGATTATACAGATTGTGGTCTGCTGCAGTAACACAGAATATCTTTATTAACAGCAGACTTTGGAAAAGAAATTAACAGATGCACAGAGATGAGAGGTTTAGGGAAGAACATAAGAGGAACATTTACTGGGCAATTATACACATATGAATGAAGAATTGCTCTAGAGGCTCAGTCACAGTAGCAGAATGTCTGAAATCAATAGATTTAAATGGAATTGCTAGGCTGAGTGGATAAATCAGCACAGAGTTCAACTTTGGTGAACTTAGTCACACAAATTTCTGCCATTGACCAACCGCAAACTGTCTCGACAGTGTTGACCTTTCAGTGAATATAGAGCCAGAGACTCCAGACTAAAGAAAGCTATCGTATTAGTTGGGTCCTCTACTCTACTTATATAACCCCGCTCTGCTGGAGTGTAAACCTCACCATAAAAGAGATGCAGCATGGTTTGGCGTCAGTCATGAGACAGGACTGGATAACACAAATACAGTTCCTTAATATTTGTTGTGGGTTATGTTCTATCAATCTCTTCTATTAAAATATATTTTTTCTTTGCTATTATGAAGGTCCTGGTAGTAATGTGTCACTTCCTGGTGTCAGTAAAATAGGTATGTGGCACGTTCAGTTGTCTACAGCGCTGTGAGAGCGATTATTATTTTCCCTTGAAATGCCCATCCCTAACATGTAACTCCTCCTGACGCTTTTATCCAAAGCGACTTACAATTGCTATACATGTCAGAGTCACACGCCTCTGGAGCAACTGAACCCGGGTCTCTCACACCAAAGGCATAGTCTTATTCATTGCGCCATCATCACCCCAAACAACATTTAAGTTGAAGAAAGTGTCTAGCAAAGCCATCTCCACTGCTAATCCCCTGCACACCACAATGATTGTTCTTCCTTATGAGCTGGAACATACACACGGTCACTGCACAGCAAAAGCACTTTCTAGTAAGTAATGAGACAAGGGGAACCTTCCCTCGTTGCTTTATATAACAAAGTGGATGAAAGCGTTAAAACACCATTAGTATGGGGAATATACTTAAAGTAGAACCTATCCTGGTCACGTATGATTCATCCCTCTAGGCCTAACCTACAAAACCGATGCCATCAGTATCTACTGTCCACTGACCACCTTTACTGCTTTGCATTAGGTATAAATCCAGTTTACCTGTGTTAACTTGTTGCCCAGTAAGTGACTGAAAGTATGACGGGTCACTAGGGGGAATTTTCTTGGTAGGCTTAATTAGAGTAACAGGTTAGGTAGAACTACCCCTCTAACCCGTCAGGGTGATGACAGCTGGGTGATAGGGAGACAATGTAGTTCAGGCTCAAAGCCGGTAGATAATTGCGTTTATTTGGAATGTCGTATGTTTACAGAGTCACTGTCTCCGCTTAGAAAGCAATACATGAGACCTCCAGATTTCAACGTGACTTAGGTAATGCATTTGAGTCTAACATCTAGTAGATTGCCTGTTCAGATTTAGGCCAGTTAAAAATGACCTTGCAGGGAAAGACCAGAGACACTACAGGATACCGGAGAGAAAAATATTGTGGACCCAGAGGGATTCTTCAGATTCGGTTTGGTATTACACTGTGTCTGCACACTGTATGCTGTTACCTGGCTCCCTGGATGGGCTTCAATAAACAATGCTTTGTAAGACATCATGAGATTTCTAAAATAATAAAAAAATGACCTGCTTCAAAACAGTCACTACTGTAAGTTACCAAGCTTCCAACCCTGCCTATTTTACAAGGATGTGCAAAAGATTTTGCTAGGCCACATTCTGGTCTGACTGCATTAGAAGATTCACATGTATTGCTGCAGAGCTCAAATGCACCAACACCACTTTTTCTACTATGCTTTAATTTAATTTAAATTAATTTAATTTATACTTTTTTAGTGAGATATTACTTTTCAAACTAAGACATGCAAAGTTTAACTGCACTCGGTAGCTACATTATTAGGTATACCTAGCTTAAACTAATGCAGTCTGTATTTTGTTCACCCCATTTATATCAATGACTGGAAGACTATAATATAATATTCACCTCTCAGTACAAAACAACTTCAGCCTCCAAACTGACCATCTCTCTCAACATCTCTCTAAAACAGTTTCAACAAAAACTGAGCATTTACGTAGGACATATCAGGGCTGTTGTATTGGATTGCATTCCTTTAGGTTACGTGTTCTAATAAACTGGCAATTGAGTGTGTATAAAAGTCAGTGTGTGAATATAAACTTTAAAGAATGAGTTTAAAGTAATTTTTTCCAGTTAAGTTTGTCATTCAGTCTGAATTTGTTCTGATTCAGGAGGTGAAATCAACTCCCTTCAGTCCATCTCAAGGCGATTTTAGGGTGCAGGATAGATTTTTACAAATAAAGAAAGCATAACATGAAATTTGGCGGCAGCATTCCTGTTGTTTCAGAGAACAATCAATTGTCTTTTCTGAAAATATATCAATTACGTATTCAGTTCAAGTTTTACCCCAGTTCGAAAACTGCATTTAAAGTTGTAAATGTATTTGCACATTTTGTATTGGAAGGGTAATTCATTTGAATGGGTTTCTTGTGTGTTATACATCACTTTTAAAGTTATGAGTCATCCTAAAACCTTCACTCAAGAAATAACGGTCTGAATCATCTGCCACACTGATGTATACACAGATGAATGTCTGGCAGCATGTGCTCCAAAATGGATATACAAAAATGGATATTACATGTTAGAATAAAACCTTTAATCTTAATTTTTTCCCATTTCTATCACACATTCATGTCAGTGGTAATGTTTTTTCCCAAGTCCATCCTACACGCATCACATTCAGATGTGTTATATGCAACAAAAGAGTAATGGTGAAGAGCCAGAACACTGAATAAATGCATAAGGAGCTTACTGTATGGGGAATCTTAAAAATGTATGCTATTCCTCTACATGTATCCCTTCAAAATCATTTTTTTATAGTCAGGTTAGGCAGATAATCCTGCTATGTTTTGCATCTAAATGTAACACAGTGTCAGCTGCTGTAATCCTTTCTGTTCTCCCCTCCATCTAGAGCCTCAAACCCCGCTGATTCAGCCCTTCCTACCGCTGGACCCTGCACTGGAAACCAGACTCCTGAGCAACACACAATGGGCATATGGCCAAATGGACACGAACAACACTACAACTACAACTGCTGAATCCTGCATCCTCAACAAGACCCAAATGGACTACAATGACCTGACAGCCGCGGCCATTAAGTCCAGTACCACTACCAACAACATCATGAGCACTGATATCAACACAAATATCCACTCTTCCACCAAAACCAGCCACTTTAACAAGATCCCTTGGGCTCATCATTATTTAACCAACCCCATTACTCCCAATAACATCCCAACAACTGCCAGTAATACCACCACTAATGGATCCATTTTCAACAAAACCACCATGACCAGCTTCAGTAAGAAAATCACCACCACCGCCATTACTAACACGACTGACATCAGCATCAACAGTAGCAGAGCATTGGGCGCCTCAGTCGTCCAATCCTTCCCCAGCAGAGTCCGTCCTGTGTCCTTCTCGCTGCCCAAAAGGAGCTGTGTCCTTCTCCACCAATCAGCTGCCGTCTTCATCCAAGGCGGCCGAGGCTCTGACTTGTCAGGGAAACAAGAAGGTGTGACGGCGCAAGAAAGAGCTAAAGATCTGGGGGCTAAAGATCAGCAGATCAAATCTCCAGTATCTGCAGACGTGGACAGTGTAGGTGTGGAACACTGGGACACTGGAAACCAGCGCAGTGTGGACAGTAAAACTGCAATCCAGCACTCTGAGGTTGGAGCCAATATGTCTACTGAGAGGGGGACAGGAGCCCAGGTTTCTTTATGTAATCGCAATGTGATCAGAGTTGAGGACTCTGTTAACAGTGGGAATGGAGCCCAGATCTCCTCATGTAACGACAATGGGACTGGAGCCCAAGTCGGCAATGAAATTGGGACTGGAGCTCATCTTTATTTAAACAGCGGGATACCAGGACAGATTTCTGGCAGTGTAAGCACAGTTGTGGCTAAAGATTCAGCATGCAGAGATAGTGAGGCCGAAACCCATAACAATGTGGACAATGTGACAGTATTAAATCCTACCCAAGAATTGAAAGATCTGCTATGTCCTGCTACAAATCAACCTCAGAAATCGATTTCCGGTATTTCAAATGAGACCAAAGAGTCTTCAATCCAAACACAGCCCAAAGATTTAAACAGCTCTCCATCAAACTGGACTAAAGAATCAAGTTATTTGCCTCCATGTCGTCCCAAAGAGCCGTTTTGTCGTGTCCTGAACCGAGACGGTGGCAGGGTTCTTCTCTGGCCATCAGAGATGGTCAGCTACACCAAGACATCGCCCTCCATCTCCTACAGCATCAACCCTCTTCTGTATGACTTCAGAGCTCATAACAGGACCAAGGAAGGGGGTGAGGAAAAGAAAGGAGGGCTGGAAGAAGGGTGGGAGGGAATAAAGCCGTCTGTGATCAAACAACCTGGCTGCCAACAGAGGCAGGAAGTTATGGAGAGAGGAAGGGAGGTAAAGATAGATGAAAGGGAAGAAGAGGATGGAGGAGGACAGGCAGGAAATCCTATGGAACTTGTAGCCCATTGTAGCGGCGGCAACGCAGTTCCGGACCGCTGCGCCTGCCGTGATGAAAGTGCTTTAAAATTCGTTCCCATTTCCACAGAATGCCACCTTGCACCGACGCTAGGCCTTCAAAAAACGGGGAGGAGGAGGAGGAGGAAGAGGAGGGGAGGGGTGAGGAGAGGAATGAGGAAGAGGGGGAGGAGGAAAAGAGGAGAAGAGACAAACAGGAAAGACCCAGACAGGGGAAGAAGGATAATAAGTAGCCTTTCTGAGAATCTGATGTCTGAAGGGAGAGGAGAAGAGAGGTTGCAAAGAGAGGGCACAGAAAAAGCAGAGAGGAGAGAAAAAGGACTATTAAGTAATCTTGGAGCGCATCGGCTGGTAGGAGGGAGAGAAAAGAGGATGAGGGCAGAGGAGAAAAGGATAAGACGAGATGAGACAGAGCAAGAGAGGGCAGGTAGAAATGACGAGAAGAGAGGAGAGCTATTAAGTAATCTTCCTGTGAATCGCTGTAATCGGTGTAACCAGCTGTGTCTGCAGGTGAAAAGGGAGGCCAGCCTGCATCAATCCCAGCAATCAGCCTCCGGGTGGGGCCAGGGGCTCAGAAAGCTCCTCTGCAGGGGTGCAGCATGTAACTCAGTGATTAGCCCCGTCCCTGGTACTGTTATAGAGATGCCATGCTGTCCTGCAATTACGCCCGACCCTGCTCAGAATGACAGAGAGACGGGGGAGATACACAAAAATACACAAGCAGGGAAGGAGGCCGGGCGGAGAGATGAGCAGCAAAGGAATCTGAGGAAGACAGAGATAAGAGTTCAGGATGCTAAAGAAAACGTGTGTAACCTAGTGATTAGCGGCATTTCCTTGCCCAGTCAAGACGCAGCATGTAAGCCAGAAGTTTGTCTTGTTCCTACACCTCAGAGAGAAACAGCATGTGATCCAGCGATTAGCCTTGTCCCTGCTCCCTTTAGAGAAACAGCGTGTAGTCAAAGACAAACAACATCTGCAGGACACTGCAATCCAGTGTTAGGCTTGGCCTCACACTGTTCTGGACAACAGACAGAAACACAACCGAGAATTAGATCAGCCCGCGCAGACATGAGCCTCCCTGGCGAAGTGATTTCAAAAGATGTGATGTCAAAGAGAGCAGTAACAGCCGACCAGAGGAAGAGGGGATTGCCAGAGGCTGGGGAAATACCGAGGAAGAAACGGAAAAGGGGAAGGAGACAAGGCAGGAGAGTCGTCTGTGTTTTGAGTACACAGAGACAGGAAAGAGCTTGTGTTGGGTTGACTACCGACCTCAGCATAGATGAGGCCCCTTGTATGCAGAAACCCACAATGGCGCTTAAACTCAAGAGCAACAAGACTGGGACACTTGTGGACGACTACCTGGGGTGCAGCACAACTGAGTGTGGTCCAGTCGGCAGCAGGAGTGAGAAAAACACTGACTGCCACTGTATTTGCAGGCCAAAACACTGTCTGTGCCATAAATCCAATAACAGTGAGGGAACATTTAGTTGCAACACAACTGACAAACTGAATAACTGCTGCCACTGTGATGACAGTAAAAGTGGCAATTGCAGTGCTGATGTCTACAGTCAATTTGTCTCTGATCCTTCCGGAGGCGAGGACAGGAGGAAGTGCTTGACTGAGAAACCTCTCAGTGACTGTAACACACCAGGTGACCACAACCAGGGTAATAAAAAACACAATCCGAGCTGTAGCAGTACTTTGATGAATCATGACGGCAACGAAGATGACAATCAATCTCCTGATCATGTGGATAAACTTCACACAGCTAACGAGAGTGACAAACCCACCTGTAACATCGAAGACACGCCTGTGGATTTACTTTCAAAAGACTTCTTTACCTGTAGCACTAACGAAACACATGCTGACCACTGTCAATGCACAAACAAGCAGACAAAGAGTGTCAAAATATCCACTGACTCTGATATCAGCAACACTACTGACAAAACGGACAAGCGTGGTGATCGCTGTAACTGTAAAACAAATGACACATGTTATCACAATTTCATTTACAACCATACAGATAACAAAAGTGGTCACAGTGAGGAGGATACAACCAAACTGCAGTGTCACATTCAACACAAAAGGGACCTCTCTCATTCAGTTATTGATTATAAAACCTGCAGTGGTATTGATCAAAGACACGGAAACGGCTGTGATGATATTGACAGTGCGCAGTGTGATTATTTTAACAGTAATCATGTCACTGATTGTAATCATTGTGGTAATGTTGTCGATAAGAGTAGCGCCACAAATGCAACGGAAACTGTTGCACTCATGAGTGTACAGACGGAGCAGAGAGAAGAGGAAAGAGATGTTGAGAAGGAGAGAAAGGAGGAGGAGGAGGAGGAACAGATGGCGAGGAAACGGGTAAAGGAGAAGCAAGAAGAGTGGGAGAAGGAGTGGGTGAGGAGAAAGGAGAAAGAAAAGGAGGACAGGGAGAGAAGGAAGGCGATAGATTTTGAACATCTATACCCAGAGAAGAGGCCTTACTTTCCTCACGCCCTCCCTCCGCATTGCATCCCCTCCACGCTCCTCTCCTTCTCCAGCCTTCCCTCTCCTCCTCTTCCACTTTTTCCTTCCATCGCACTATCATCCAGCATCACCTCTCCCTCCTCCCGCCTCCGCCACACCTCCCTGTCCACTCATACCCCCATCTTCTCCCCTCTTTCTCCCCACATCTCTCCTCTCACTCTTAATCCACCTCCTGCTCCTCCACCCCCCCCTCCTCCTCCTCCTCCTCCCCCTCCGTTCTACGCCTCATCCCCCATCTCTCTCCTGGATGCCCCTGGTCCTTATCCGCTAGCAGCAGCATTTCACCCCTTGCAGAGTCACCACCCGTCTCTGTATCCCCCGCCCCATCATGCAGTCTTGCCCTTACAGATGTTGTTTTAAAACATACAAAAGAAGCAAAGAAATTGACTCATGAAGGGTCGACTATCCCATTTTCCAAGTGAAAAGTTGTCAGGCGAAAGCAGTTTTCATGCCTCATCACCTGCACACTCAAAGCAAGAATGAAATGCGGTACAATTCCAGGAAGATTTAAGAAACAAAAACAATAAAACACGATCTTTCTTAAAGCCAAACCTCCAGCAATTTCATCACCCTGTCGATACACTCCAAGCACTGATTCATCTGAAAAAACGATGGCTAATTATCGTCATCAGATGCAATCCTGCTTAAAATGAGCCTCAGGTGTGCAGCCAGCGGAATCGTGGCGGGGATACACAGCTGGGCTCGTTTCCCTCCGCAGAAATCAGTTGATGCTCCTGTTTTGCATTTTAAACCAATGATTTGCTCAGTTTAAAGCATGTTGGAAATTTAAACTGTGCTTTGTGACTTTAAAGGGCAAACCCATCATTGTACACTCTCAGATATCTTCAATCTGTGATAATAAATGCAGGATTTTTTTTTCCTTGTTGAAATTTACATTTTCCCCCCTGAGAGCTTCCACTTCAGTTGGTGATTTCCTACTTCTCCCTGAATGACTTTGAAGACAGATGTGGACTTGCTGCTCTCAAGAGGTTATTAAGCTGATGACCCGCATGACTTTTTTTAAAGCTAACCTCTGTTTTGCCAATAAAAAGTTTCTTCCATCAGTCTTTCTAAAAAGGTTGAGACAAGATCTTATTCAAACTTAATATATTAAATGAGTATTTCTACTAGTTTAGCAGAGTAGTAAAATTTAAGCACCTGGTCATTTTAATAAGATAAAACTAAGTTAGCATTTAGTAACGACAAATGTGCCATATTCACATCATACCATACAGACATAATTACAAGCGGGCTCCTTTTTCAAGTCAGAAGTATGGGCTTATGGCCATCGTCATAAGTTATAGCTGAATAAACTCTGATATATATGCTTAAAGGTTCAGTGTGTACGTTCTAGTGACATCTAATGATGAGGGTTGCGAATTGCAACAAATGGCTCTCTGTGCATTCACTTGCTCCTCGGACGAAATAAGTACTTTATAATAAATGTATTAATTCTAATGGCAACTGTAGCAGTAAAAAACTTTTTCTCCATGAGGTTGTTATTACATCAATTTAATTTCTAAATCTAACAACAAAAAGGCTGTAAAAACTGTCAACATATGGTCGTCTTTTAAAATCTTTATAAAATATAGACTACCCCTGGCAAATTTGTTATTATTTGTGTCCTCTTATATACTTGTATACTGTTCTATATACTTCTTTATGTCCCATGTACATTTTATTCCTGTTTTGCAATAAAGATTTAAGGAGGAGGGAAAAATCTGATTATTCCAACACTACATGAATGCACCATCACTCACCGCTCATCCCTCCCTTTGCAAGCATTCAGGAGGAACCTCAGCGGCCGACACACTCTGTTGACTCATGTGCCGAATATGTGTGGTGCTCCATTTGTCCAAATTACGCAACTCTTCTTACTTCTAATAAACCAGACGACTACTACTACTACTACTACTACTACTACTACGTATGCTTGTTTTTCGTACTAGTCAACATAGTGATGAAACGCGCTCTGTAGAGCCATTTGTCCTGTTTGGGCTTCTGTAGAGGGAAAAATAAAATAAAAATAGAAATGGCTCATTTTAAGGTTATAAAAACATAACAAGTCATTATGTAAGGACTTTATACACCACTGAAAACATAGTTATGTATATATATTGATATCCTCCTAAATAATACACACTGAACCTTTAATGAACCACTACAAATAGTTAACTTTTTGTGCTGTAAAAACATCTGGGCTTATTTTTCATTTATCTGGTGATTACAGGGCTAGCTTTCTGATAGATGGGTGACATGTCCTGCAAAGAATAAGCAGGTATAACTAGCAGATGAGTGGATGACAAGGCTAGCAATGGGGCTAACCGTCTTAGAATAACACCTGTGTGCTACCCAGTTGAAATAACAGAAGATTTCCCCGTCCAGATGACATAATGTGAATGCAGCATCAGTTACAGAGCCTTAAGGTAGCTGTAGTGAGCTAAATGCTAACAAAATGATTATTCTTATTGCTCTGTTAAAATTATGACGTTTCTTTTTCATTTTATCGTCCGAATAAGCAAAAGAAAGCTGCTGGAGCTGATGTTAAGAGAGAATTACGCTGTTTTAAAGATACACATAAACTTCTTCTCTGTTTTCCCAGAGAGGGGTGTGGTAAATGTAACCTCCCAAAACTCAACAACATCAAGTAAGCTGATTGGTTTCTCAAACTCCTGTGGGGAAGCAGGTTTGAAATGCAAAAGAAAACACACATTTAAAATCCACACAAGTATAAAAGAACAAACGTCTCTGAACAGCACCCATGCACTCGACCAAACTACAGAATAGATGTGTCCTAATTCCTTTCTACATACTAATAAATAATTGAATTAATTGTACTCAGTAGATGTTAGTATGTAGGATACATGAAGTTGATTTTTGGTGCATTGTTAATGGAAAACATAACTCATGGACTGCATGAAAGGAAATTGAGAAGCTGCTGACAGCTGGAAAAAAAATTGACGATAAAGGTAGCTTCAAGAAGACCTGGAAAAACATTTGTTTTCTCTTTGTTGAAGTTAAATCGGCACTGGCATTTAAGAGTCACAGTTTTACACTGCAAGTCTCATTTTGTCAGTACAAACTACATTGATTTGTTGGATGGTGACTGTATACTGACTGCAAAAACAGCATACTGTGGTAATTACTAGAGAGTACACACTGTAGTAGTTTGTAGAATGGAAATGGGATACAGCAGTCTCATTGCTGGTGCTGTCATCAGTGTATAAATTGTATCTGCAGTGGATTTCTGCCTGTGACTGTTGAACGTCAGAGCAAAATGTTAAGTTTAGAAATAAGCCTTTGCTCTTTGATTTTGAGCGATGGACTCCAGCGTCTGACCTTTCTCTTGACGTTTAAGACTGTTGATTTTCTGCCATCTCACTCCACGCTGCACTAAAAATATCCCAATGTAGTGGATAACTTTACATTTATTGACTCATCCAAGGAAAGAAAGACAAAAACACAATAGGAGTGTTTCAGCACGTCACAATAAATGTTAAAGGCACTTTTATAAACCCACTTTACAAAGTGCTTCACGCAGGGCAACAACTTTACAACATGAAGATCATCAAAACTATTTCTGATTTCTGAGAGTAAAGGGAAATCAAGCAACTAAAAACAAGCTCATGCCATAGTTTCAAAGCTCTGACTGCGAATGCTCTGTCACCTCTAGTCTTCTGCCGCGCAAGACCTGAGCATGAGGTCAGATATATAGCATGATAAAGGCCATGAAGAGCCTTAAAAGTCATCAGTTAGATCTTTAAATTAATTCTAAAAACATACTGGGAGCCAATGCAAGGAGGCGTGATGTGATCACTTCTCTGGGACCTTGTTAAAAGCCAGGCAGCTGACTTCTGTACAGTCTGAAGCCAATTAATAGATTTTTGGTTGAGGCGTGACGAGATGAAGCTTGTAAAATGGTCTCCGTCATGTGACACCCAGATTTAATAGAGACATGTCTCTGAGAGGCTAACGTAGAGATGGGCTGTGATGAAACGAGGAGGATTTGATTGCCAGGTAATCACAAA